CAACTTACAACCTCCGCCACAGATTCCTCGTTATCTAACTGGCTCAATATCCACAATGGTTCGTCAATATCCCACCACTCTACGAGAAAGAATGCTAACTCTTATCCAGCATCTGCCACTTGAATTGCGCGAGGAACTCGCACTTCTCCCCGAGTCTCCCTCGCGCGAAGAGCTATATGTCCTGTGGACGCACCTCCTACAGAGGTATTTCCCCTTCCCTCTCCATGGCTCCCTCCCCAACCTGCCCGATCTTCCTGACGAGACCGCGGTGAAGTACGCTCTAGGCAACCATCAGGAATCCGAGAGCTCCCACATCGCGCTCGCCGTCGGTCGCGAATACGGCCCGTTTGACCGTCTCAGCTTCCTTCACATCTTCTGCCAGGCTGAGAGGAAGGAAGAGTGGCACCTGGCAGAGATGCAGGACAAGTTGAAGGAGGAGATGATGAAGTCGTCTCACTGTCAGATTGCGCGGGGGCGCGGGATGACAATCCATGGTGCGGTTGTCGTCGGTCGTGAGGTCGAGTTTTACAGGATGAAGCGAGATGGGTCGTTCGAGTGCATGGCGTGGTTGGCTCAGGAGAAGAAGAGTCTGCATATCCTCCGGGATATGCGGATTATTACCTCCCACCTCATGCAGATAAGCTACGAGGTGAGATTGCGTGATTGATTTGGTATGGCTTGGTCTGATTTACTTGTTACAGTGCGCTGAGGGTCCTTCATCTGAAGGCGTTCTGCCTCTAGGCTTTTTGATATCTTGAGCTTGTGGATTTGAATCATTGCTACTGCCTTGTTTGATTGACTTGGTCGCTGTGAGTTATGCAACTGTCCTGCGCTTTTCGTACTTGACTTGGTTGTCTCATGAATGATCGGTATATCTGTTAAAGGGCTTATGCAATTTATAATTGTTGGAACAATTATAACTTTCGCCGCACTTTCCTGTTCGACTCCGTAGATACAACTATTGCCAGATCAACGTAGCCGATACCATCTGGCCTAAGCTCGAATACTTAACTTGCGGCCGATCCTGGGCATGATCGTATGATTCCTCGGAATGATAATCCCTTGCATTTGCGTGGAACTCTTTTCCGCTGACATATTCTCCACCCCTCAAGAGCTGAAATACTGTCATAACAACCAGAAGAAGTGCCTCCATTCACCAGAACATAATAAGCTCTTCCGTAAGCTCTACAGACATGTTATATTGGCCCCACAATAGTCGAGACGGTCGAGAGGCCCCTCTTTCTCGTCGTCTGTCATGTAGCAGCCTGATACGGAATCACGGTCCGATCCCTTAATCCCTCGAGCGTGATTGACGCAAATACCTCCGAGCGTAAATCAGGCTAAATAAGGTAATTTGGTGGTATCCAATCGGGAGAGATCGCTTGATTCATTCCCTTTATGCAGGGTTTAAATAGATTAAAGTGCGCAGTTTTGCCGTCTCGGCTTATGCTTGTCTTACTTGGCTGAATGCTGCAGACATGGATTTGCGGGGTAAATGTGTCTCCATTGCTTAATGTGGATTGCCAAGTAGCATATAAATATTGGACGGATATAAATATTGGAATATTTCTTGCAGATGCACGTCCATCTCGTAGATCTACTTTGACAGAATGATGCTTCTCCTTGGTATATTTCTTGCCCGGCTTGCGGTGTCTGCCGCGCAGAGCAGCTGCGTCTCAGCTTGGTGAGACTTCCTCCTGTCCAAGACTGCATTTGACTAAGAGTCAGGGGTCAATGTGGTGGCGTTTCTTACTCCGGGTCTACCTGCTGCCAAAGAGGGAATACCTGCGCCGAGATCAATTCGTACTACTACCAGTGCACACCAGCAACAGCTGTGAGTGTTATCACCATCAAGCTGTTCGTACTGGTCATAACGCAGAGTAGACTTCAACTACCACGGGGACCTCTCCCTCTAGCCCTGGTTCGTCTTCTACCAACACGTCAGGCTACACAACGACTGCTGTTCTTCCCAGCCCGACAGCTACACAGAACCCTTATCCACCTGCCAATGCCAGCTCATGTGGATCGTGGGCTCTCGTTGGTAACGTTTGCTGCCCATACTACTGTCTCTCGAATAATGAATCCGAGTCCTGCACGAGCAGCTGTACCGGCGGGTGCGGCAGTCCTGATTCCTCCATGTGCAAGTCCGGGACGATGTGTATGTGTCCTCCTTGGAAGCGTGAACATGGCTGAGACAACCACAGGGGGAGAGCAACGTACCGTAACTTCCAACGAGGGCTGGCATTACAGTGTGAGCATACTCATCATGCCTCAGATTCATACTGACCACTACAGCGCTCAACACACTTTGGTCTGACCAGCGGTGGCGCCTGCGGGTTCGGGTTGTACGGCCTCTGTACCAAGAACAGTGTCACAGCGAGCTGGACGGATCCCATGCTGGGATCTACCTGCGACGCATTCTGCACCGCATATCCGCTCCTCTGCAAGGATCCGGCCAACGTCACGCTCCGAGGGAACTTTGCCGCTCCGAACGGAGACTACTACACTCAGGTGAGTACACACAAAGCCTCCAGTCGATAAGCTCTAAGTGGATAGTTCTGGCCATCCCTGGCTGCATCCGGCAATCCCGACAACTACCTCTCCTGCGGCGAGTGTTTCGAGCTCATCCGTACTAAAGCTGATGGGACGGATTACGCCTTCGGTGAGAGCGGATATACCGATCCCATCGTCCTCGAGGTAGTAGACAGCTGTCCCTGCGACGCAAATTCAAAATGGTGCTGTAAGTGGACCTTTCCTCGCTCCGACGCAAAAATCTCACAAGGCCAGGCGGAAGCGGCGCAGACCACTGCGGCGAAATCGACTTCAAGTACGGCTGTCCCCTGCCAGAAGGTTCTCATCACATGGACCTCTCCGATATTGCCATGGGCCGACTCCAAGGCAACGGCAGTCTGACCGACGGCGTGATTCCCATCCGCTACCGGCGGGTCCCCTGTCCCAAGCCTGGGAATATCTACATTTGGCTTCATGATGGGGCTGGACCGTATTATTTTGCGCTGAGCGCGGTGAATACCAACGGTCCCGGCTCTGTGATTAGTATCGAGGTACAGGCTGGTGGCTCGGGGCCATGGGTTGCACTCGAGCACGACCCGAACTACACCAGTAGTCGGCCGCAGGAGCGGTATGGCTCATGGGTCCTCCCACAGGGCAAGGGTCCCATTACTGCGCCTGTTGCGATGAGGCTGACGGCGCCGGATGGGCAGCAGGTGGTTAAGGAGGGCGCGATTACCAGTTTTACCCCGCCGGCGACTGCGGTCACCGGGTTCTGGTATATTGATCTGGGGGTGCAGTTTACCTAGGTAGATAGGGTGCAGGTAGTGCCAGGCAGGTAGTGCCAGGCAGGTAGTGCCAGGCAGATAGTGTCGCAGTGATTCAAATAATCATCGAGGGAAATTGCACTTCGGTTCTTGCAGCTACTTATGATTCTCCCACCTGGACCCGTCAAAAGCGGATAGTTGCCCAACACTATGTCATTCAACAGATAATGATCATATGGCTCAGTGAGAGGAGGCTGTGTACCAGTGTTGACGAGACAGTACAGCCTTAGCAAAAATCCACGAATAAATGCAGAAGAAGGTTTGGAGCGACTTCTCGCAACTAGTTAATCGAGTCGACCCTCCATGTTCTTGCACGCTGTCTGCCTAGAAACTCTCGGATATTTTGTTGCCCCAGCGGTGCCGGATGGACAAGAAATGATGCAGTCACTCCGCGTCTTGCAATGTGAGTTGCCTTAGTTCCAAGGCCTGGGCCTGGGGGTAATTCATAATGAGAATATATGCCTATTCAAAGGTACTCCATGCCTTACATGTTGGAGCAACCTCGCCTTTGCAGTTTCTACCTGAATAGGGCATGGATTGACGATCGAATGTAAGTCGACGACCAACGGCCTAGAGTTTTACCAACCGCGAGCCAATAATAGTGTTCATAAATGACTCTACTTTTACCCACATAGTTGTACCCGTTTGAGTATGAAGTATGACTCACTAGTTCAAGTTGGAGTTGCAGCATAGTTTGTACGCATGTGTTATAGTGGGAATGATGCTCATCTAACTACAGCGATCCTTTGATTCATTAGTCTGTCATTTCACTTACTCGCTAGATTGGCTGTTGAAACTTCCTAACTTATGACTGCAATCAACTGTTAACTATGTCTAGTGCCGTGTCTCTCAAGAGCAGGTTGTAGGTTCTTCAAAATAATGTCATAAAACGACCGTCCTTCTTGTAGGCAGCTGTCGTCTAAGGCAAGTATATCTCATGAGGAATTGGACCTCATTTTCTCCTATAAATTGACAGTTGGACTTTGCTACCAGAGAAGCTAGCTGGAACACTAGAGCAAGCCTGCAATACATATCACCTCGTATCTGGAGCTCTCCGATCGACATGGGCTAAACTAGTGTGGCTAGACCACGGGACCGCCTTCAAATAAACTAGCTATGTGACGCCAAAGAGTTCGAAGTTAATTGTTTGGGACAATTCGGCCTGAATAAAGTTTGAATCAGGATCTCCACGGATCAGAGCAACCCGGAGAGTCGCGCACTGTCTCAATGTATTTAGAGTAACGAGACTCAGTGAGTCACACGACTGTTAGCTGCAAGGTAGTATCTGTGGCACTTGTTAAGGTGCTAGATGATAGCCATTTATCTTGGTCACTGTATGCACGTTCCTTGTCATTCACATGATCTGAGTTTAGATCTGTACCTTAAGTGTCAGGATCGTCCGCAGATGACGGGACACGGGAGTGGACCCGATTGACAAGCTAAGGCCAAGTATATAAAGCACTTTACCTAGCTCTCGGGTAAGACTCCTATAAACGATTGGATCCCGCAATAGCGCTAGCAGATCAACAGCCGCGCAGTCTCCACTCGCCTCCTCCAGGCGGGGTGGTGGGACCAATAAATGCAGAACCACAATTGTCATGTCAGCATAGGCTGGCTGCCTTCGCGGTCTGGGAGGCAAAACTTCAGCCCCTCCAGACATCAAGGATGCCTTGTCCGCAAGCCGCATTGCCTAGATCTGCAAAAAGACATGGTCAGCAAGGCTTTGAACCCCCTGGGGCGTCGACAGTCAATACTGTGGTTCAACCGAGACTCTGGTCCTCAGACAATGGCACAGTGTCCCTTCAAGATAAGAGTTACTACACTTCTTCGGCATGGCAGACAAAATCTCAAAAGACCCTCGCCAACATATCCACTATAACCGATCCATTCTGGGCCGAGCTCCCCACCAGTATCAACACTGGCTTACTACGACAGTTCGCTCCTCGCATCAACTCGACTGCCATATGGGAGAACAACTCAGCTGCTATACTTCCTGAAGGCTGCTACCCATTATCGGACACCTTCTATCTCCACTACGGATATGGACAGGACAATGGCGCTCCATTTCAATACGACGTTGAGATATGTATCCCACGAAACATGTCAGAATCGCCGTGGAGAAAAAACAATTGTTACGACAAGATTTCAGCGAAGAGTTAAATTTCAAGATGAACTTTTCGGGAGATTGGGGGTGGCTTAACTACGTGCCTAGACCGGGAACATATTCGAGGAAGCTGACACTCAACACCACGACGGGTTACTTCGAGCTTCCCAACTACGCGAACTGCCAAGTCCCTGGGCCATTGATCGAAGAGAGTCCGTTTGGCAAGACCCCGCGGAATTTCACCCCTCGGGATCTAGACATCGATACAGCATCGACTATGCTGAACGCTACCTTGAATGTGATCAATGCCGGCAATAAAGGTCCCCTTCTTTACATCACCATGGCACTGTTTGGCGAGGGCTCGTTCGCTGATGTGCGACACACGGTATTGGCAGCCTATGCCAACTCTAGCATCAGCTACGGTGGTTGTATTGACATCATCCCTTTCATTCCACTCCTTGACGATCCCCACTCCTCCTTTAAGACGTCACCGGGTAACCCGTGTCTAACGGGTAGCGGTCTAACGGGTAACGGTACCCGTGATCGTGCATACATCGACGACACGATGCATGCAATTGTTGCGGGGTACTTTTTCCTTTTCTCTGGAGACCCTGCCTATGGACCAACTGCGGAACGAGTACAGAACGCCTTTGCCTCGGCCTCGTTTCTAGCCAACGACATGTTCATGACAAACAACTACCATGAGCAGAGTATCGGCATCTCATACGATATGGGGGCCGATGTACAAATCCCGCACATCTCGCGTGCTGGAATTATTTTCATCTCGGTATTATTAGGTCTTGGCATGTCTTCTGGCATTATCCCTCTATAGCGCGTGGATTCCTCGAGGGACTGGGACGCTTGACTCCTTTGCGATGCTCCGGATCGGCACCTCTATGTCAGAAAAGGTTCCCCTGCTCGCCGCTCGGGATGTCGACCGCATCAAAGTACTCGAAGAGACTCCTGGGTGGATGGGGAACGCATCCGATGGCGAGATAGGGGAACTATGCCTAGGCGGGGAATGGCCACTCGAGAAAACGCGGCGTTATCGCAGTTATGACACCGTTGATGCAGCTCAAGCGATAGCGATGAGGAAACCCTCAGGGGTAATCAAACGAGAAGGATATTCCTTGGCTCCAGGAGAAAGCACATAGTAGCCATACTGGTGACACCCACTGACTCCTAGCCGGCCACATGTCAGTCTACATGGAATCCAGATGTTGCTTCCTTGTTTTACCCCTTTGGTAACATCCTTTCAGTTCTCTATACGTACCTACCTGATCATGACTTGATCTTCCTAAATCGCGACACAGCTGTGATAGATCTAGTATGGCTCTATTATATTCCAGGTTTGCCACCTGGAGTCTGTGGTTTAGGGAGATTAACTTATAACTCTAGGGTTAAGGTTAGGGTTTCGCGTTGAAAAGAATTGGGATAGGCTGATGCAGCAATTGACCTCTAGTTACATGTACCTCAGCTAATGGCAGAAATCTGTCATAGAAAACGATCAAGGCCTGTCCACTCTTAACTGCACGATCCTATGCCACTGTAATGCTATATGTTAATAGTTAGTACTATCCAAGCCAATCACAGAAATTGACCCACCATCCGGGCTATAGGTAAAATTCTGTACATGAACTTGACCATTAACGTCAATGCTCCCTGCCACGGGATCAGAGGCACCGCCCAAGAGGGCCAGGACACCCCTGACCACCTCGTTTGCATACTCAGCCTCAGCCAGTGCGCTCTTTGTCTGCGTATCTTCACTGGCTCCCTGCTTCAGATCTCCTCAATACCCTTGCGATAGTGTGACATCTCCAGCAAGCTTAGATTACCATGGGACATGATGTTCGTCACGATAGACCCTGTAATGAGGGAAAAGACCCTCACACTGAATGGCGGCGATTCCAACCCAAGCATCTTACTCCACTGCATCAAGCAACCTTGGACGCATTGTGCACACCTGTCTCCATTACCACTGCGGTGAAGACTCATCCACGGCGCATACAAAAGCCCAAAACCAGACACACTTCACAACTGCCCTCTTGGTGGGGAGGACCAGCGGCACAACGCCTGTATATTAGCAAACACAGCGATGAAGTTGACATCGAGAACACGCCTCGTATCGTTGACGCTTGTGTCCAGCTTATGAGATTAAGTTTTTGAGTTCAGATGGTTTCGACGGTGGCAGTGATGCATTCTTTGGACATGACGTCCAGCTCAAGGATCGTCCCGTTGGGCAGGTTCTCCAGGTGGCTCATTTTGGTGCGGGATCGTGCTGTGGCGTAGACATGGAGTCCCTTTGTATGGAATTCCTCCTCCAAGGCTGATCCGATGCCGGCGACGCTGCAGGCGGTTATGGGCTCGTTCAAATAGCTGGTGCGGCAAATTATAAGGGGCCTGTCAGCCAGAATATGCCTAGGTATCATTTTAATATGCCAGAAGTTGTCATCTAGATACCTTTTTGGCCTAGTGGTTTGATGGCCGACAAGGGCCATATGATACTACAAGTATCTATGGGACTGAATTACGTTAGAGGGTAATCTGTACTCGCGGTAAACTAGGGGCTGAGACCTTGGGGTGAGACATTCTGCCACTTTCTATAGAGTTATATATATAATGCAGTCGTACACTTGGTGTACTAGATTATTACTGTGCACATTACTCTTTCCATCACCCATTAGCTATATACCTCCGCTCCAGCATAAGTCATGCTGGAAGATGCTTAGCGATGCTGTAAACGGCGGCAAGACTGATAGGGCTAGGTAGTAATTGGCCGACTAATATGCATCTGATTAAATTATGCGGTGAAGTCCTATATCTACAAGGTGTATCCTGGAATTATAATCAGGATAAACTCATGTGTATATGCTTTATGATAAAGACCTGTCATGACCAATAAGCTTTTACTGTTTCCTATTTTGATAAAGTTGACATATCGAATTCCAGAATCCAGCCCCTTGGTTCGCGTGGAAAGTTAAACAACTTCATGACATCACGACCTTATTTGGTACCTGTGATGCTGACTCCCATCTAGGACCTATCACATTTTCTGAATGGATCCTGGTCGCATGACCATTGCCCTGCTTATGAATCGTGATGATTCATCTGGTCTCTCCTGAATCCTGATACATCATCCCGCAGATGCATGAAGAACAATGATACAATCAATGTAACCTACATCCCGACCACCTGAACTATGAGCGACACTATTATAACCAGATGTGACGACCTCCCAGAGCCAAAAGAGCTCGCGGAAGCCTACGAGCTCGAACTACAATCCCAAAATGGCCAACCGATCCGATTCGGCGAGCTAGTCGCAGGAAAAGGAGGCCAGATCACAACGATTGTGGTTTTCAGTACGTCTCTTACCCACGCTGCCTTACTCTCTTCCCATCTGCTGACTCTCTAAGTCCGCCACTTCTTTTGCGCCTACGACCAGGACTACGTCCGCGTAGCCTCTCGCCGTCTCACCGACTCCGTCCTCGCGACCCTCCCCAACCCCACCGGCCCATCACAGCTCATCATAATCGGCTGCGGTGACCCTCAACGCATCGTCCCTTATGTATCGGAGACTGAAGCTGCGTTCCCCATCTACACGGACCGCAAGGGGAAGATCTACGAGAAGCTGCACATGAAGAGGACGAGGTCACACATCACTCAACCGCCCCCTTATACTCAAAACTCTTTCCTCAGTGCGCTTGGAAAGACATTCAAACAGATGTTTTGCAGTGGGTGGCAAGCGTTTCTGGGTGGAAGCTGGGGGCAGAACGGCGGCGAGTGGGTGTTTCGAGGGGGCAAGCCTGTTTATGTCCATCGGATGGAGCATGTCTCGGATCATTTGACGGCGGACCAATTGCTTGAAGTGCTCAGCCATGATAAGCCGGCTTAAACTAAGTAGGAAATGGCGAGATTGAGTAGGTATTTGTTGGATTACCAGCTCCGCTGAGTGTATAGTCCTGGAGAGGGACGTTTACCAGTTAACCTGCCATTTGGCATTTGCAGTGGATACCCTGATTACGAGGGTTTCTGTATTGCTCATTATGTTCTTCACTTGCATTCACTTATTCATCTGGAGAGGCTCTGTCCCATTCTGATGTGAATGGTGAAATGACCAATGAGAAGGATTTTACGGCCGAAGGATGCTTGCTATTTTAGGTCTGGTGCATTCTGTTGTGAAGTGTCACATAGATGCGGGGTATATAAAGCAGTGAGATGCCCAACAAAACCCCAGCTGAATATCCAAAATGGACAAGGAACTCTCAATCCTCTGTTTCGGTAACTCTCTAACCGCCGGATACTACCATTTCGGATGCGACTATCATCCATACGCCTTGACACTGAAAGATAAACTACAGGCAGCCTTTCCCACCACCACATTCACTGTTGACGTGGATGGCCTTCCAGGCGATTTGGTCATCAGCCCTGTCGGAACATTTCTGCCTCGAATCCAAGCAAAATGTGTGTTGAGTCCATTATCTTTCTTGCGGTGTAGAGTCTGACCGTAACAGTTGACGGATCCAACTATGACTGGGTTATCATTCTTGGGGGAACAAAGTATGTCGCTTCGTCCTTACGGCTGGAGGGCCTGGTGCTAACGTCAGCAGTGATCTCGGGAGAGGCTATCCGGTTTCGAAAATATACCCTGCTCTGCAAGAGGCGTGGGAAGTGGCTCTAGACAGCGGCGCAAATGTTCTCGTTCTCACTATTCCAGAATGCTCGGTCGTCAGTACGACGCTTGACGCGCGGAGGAACGAAGTAAATTCGTCCATACTCAGTCATAAAGCAGAGGGATTGTGAGTTCAATAACAATGAGAATAGTGCAAAGTAGCTAATCTTGGGATAGCCACGCGTTTGACCTGCACGGGAAAGTCCCGTATCACAGCGCCACAGAGGAATTCAGGAAGAAAATCTGGGATGATGGATTGCATCTAACTGCCGAGGGGTATAAACTCGTGGGTGAGGTAGTCGGTGAGCATTTGATTGCGCTGCTCAAGGACAAAGGTTTATAAGGAGAGTTGCAAGAGGCTCTGTACCTGTATTTGCCCTGATGGCTCAGATACAAGCAAATAGTACTCATTGTTGGATCGCGTGACTGTCATTCAGTTCCAACCTCATGTCGTAAACCGGTGTAGTCGCCTTCGGGCCCGTTTGCTGATATAACCGGCCCAACAACGGGTGTCTCCTTATCGGAAGCCACAGCACGCCTCCTCCGCCGCAAAGCCAATTACGGTAGGATTCCTGGCCTGACAGCAAAGAGGGCATCATCACGGCCATAAGCAAACAATCTACGACGACGTTGCGCGTCCAAGTAGCCGGATACAGGTCCTTGCGGCTTCTTGAGGAACTACGCCATGTGAATAAAGCACAGGGACCCAGGATACAGCCAAGGGTGGGAATATAAATGCCTGGAACGCAAGGTAAGTAGGTAGACTGTTGAGCAATAAATTGAAGCTCGTTATGACATTATGGGATAAAGAGACGACGATTGGTACAAAGCACTAGTTACAGGAACCTGGAAGAAAGCGGCGGTATAGAGCCAACTGAATAAGGGCCCAACCCGACATTCCCCAATGCTTCTCTACCAAGGGCTACCTACAATGAGCTGCCGCTCGCGGTTCGTCGATTAACCTAGAATGTGTTATTTCTCTGATTGGTTGGAACGAAAGGCAGCCAGAATCCTGCTGGAGGAGACATCTTCATACACAGCCTACATAGGCGGGCAATGATCCTTATTTTGTAGGGCTCAGTCCCGCTTGCTGCGTGGCTGAAACACGGTCAGCAGTCGTACTCCTCCATACAGATGTTTAGCGTATACAAGGTGAAGAACCTGCCCTTTTACCATACAATTCCAACCCTCTCCGATATGAGAAGCTTTTTTATAGCGTCAAATTTGATGTGTACACCTCCCTGCACTGACCAACCGTAAAATCTATAGATTCATGCTTACTTTATGCTTAATATTATTAGAGTATTAGTGGGCTCGAGTGAGTTTTATATGAATATTATGCATAGGCGGAGTGTTATCAAGAGGAGCGAAACTACGAATATACATTGTGATATGTTCTATATATATTCACCTCTTGAGGCTTATTCGGGCATACTATATGTGTACACTAAAATAACATATCGGAAGAGATTAATGTTATGTAATATCACATAAATAACTGAAGAATTTATGACCCTCTATCAATATTAAGCATATGTTGAACATGAATTTATGGATGTTAAAAGTGGTGTAAGCTTTGGCAACATAAACCTTTTTCTGACACCCACTAGACTCTCCCTTATTTTTCTTTCATCAATGGCAACAGGGAAATTACATTATTCACTCACTCATAGTGTCAAAGCCCAGATTATGGCATACACTCCTTTCTGTTGTTCGTCGTCCTCGAACTGCTGAAAACACATTTATCTATTCCCCAGACGACAACCCTCTCCTTGCGCAAGCTCATAGGCCGTTGCAGGACAAACCTGCCTAAGAAATCTATCCTAACCGCTTGTTCCAATTGCTGTGGGTGCTATCCTCAACTTGTTAGTAAGTTTTGTCTCCTCTCAGAATCTCTGGCGTTTCCCAGGGAACTAAAGGCAGCGAGATCCAATATGTGATCCGCCATGTGATCATGTCATATTGATAAGCGAAACCGCTGAAGCCAGACCGACTCTCATGGACTGTTGTTATGTGGGGTTTAAGAGGTGAGGTATTGGACAGTGAGGCTCAGTCGCTGCTGAGCGGCTGTACAAAATAATCCAGAAGATGCATTGCCTTTCAAGGCTGGTATTTCGATCTGCTCGTCATGCGACCCCTTCAATGATAGCCTGCTGGACTGCATTGCCCAACCATGTAGGACAAAAGGATTTCACCATAGCGCTTAGTAGTATTCCTTCATCATTTATACAATTTGTTCATCCGAAATTTTGATTAAGGTCTTGCACCACCATCCGAAAACTGGGAACTCTCGCCACCGTGAGTCTGTATACCGTTTATCGTGGCTGGAATTTGTCAGTTCAGCCAGGAGAAAAATGGCCTACCAAAGCGCTTACCGTCTATCATCTGCCAGTCGACGCTGGAAGCAGGTGTCGTGGTTGGAAAGCCTTCAATGTCATCATTTGCCAGGGATCAATTAGTCAATACTGTCGCATCGAAGACGGGGAATTGAATGTTGAAACGGGCGGGACTCCCTGGCCATACAATTGTTAGACCTCAAACTAGAGTAACGTATAGGACGTATGCGTTCTGCTCTTACCTTGCGGGTCCGGACAGATAGGATCATTGTACAGCGGAACATCCGGAAGCAAAGGGTTTGTCTCGTCATTTGCACTGTCGTCATTGGCACCATTGCGCTTTCCGAGAATGACCCTCAGAGCTCTCGCTGCCTTTTGTGCCTCCTTCGAAGAGCTGCTAGAATGGACCCAAATGTCGTATGTTTTTTGAAGTGACTTCCAGATGGTCGCCTCGGTCACGGCTGCTGCACCTGCTTTACTTTGCAGACGACCTCGCTGTAGGTAGGAGCACAGGATGCTAGTGGCGAGTAGAAAATCATGATTAACAATCGAAGAAACTCGCCATCGCTCCTGATACAATCGGCAGAATGGCTGCGTTTCTTCTTGGAGAACGTGCTGGTAGTCGAGAAGTTTGAGCGCTGCATCTAGACTCGCCTGCTGGGAGTAGCCGTTCTGCGTGTCTGCTTGCCAGCTATGTAGGTATCTCTGGTGCAACACAATTCGCGCACGGTGGAACATTATCTCCAGGAACACCTTTTGTATGATCACCTGCGGTGAATCCATAATGCAGGGGGCCATAGAAACCCACCGGAGACATGGTGGGATTGCGCTATGCGCATCTTGAAGCATCCTATCCATCTTCATTATCTCTGTGTAGGGGCATTGCCTTGTGTCAGTCACGAGATCCCACACGAAGCCGATTGTTGTCATCATCCTTGCCTTGACAAGGCGGTAGAGCATTGGTGTGAGTTCGGTCTCCGGACGCGAGTCCGGCATAGCAGCCGTGTCTCGATCAAAATCGTTGTCGTGAAGGTTCGACGGCCCTCCTGTGTCAGTTTGCCAATGCTTGATCAGTCGAGGAAGGCCCATTTGAGTAGAGAGCCCAATGTCAATGTCGACAATCGTAGCCCAGACACGCTTGCGCATCTCCGCTGTAAATGGAGACATGCTGGGGAAATGATGCGGGTCCCTGTGGTAGCCCATATGCATTGCCAGCTGTACTATCGTTCCCAGGAGGATCCATACCCCGATTTCGGCGTCGCTCCGGAGAAATATCTCCACGGCAATGTACAACATGAGCGTCTCGAGCACATACGGGCCCCCTTTGGCATACTCTCCTAATATAAGGCATTGCACGATCTTCTGACGGTAGAACTCAATCTTGCTTTCAAGGTCTTGCTCCCTTGACAAGGATGCGGGCGTTTGGATCCCCGGATCTAATCTGAATTTCTGGAACTGGGTAGCGAGGCACATTATAGTGAACAGGAGGCCCAGCCATATAACTGGCGTTTCTGACGGGTTTTCCCAGAATTTTTCATACTGGATTTAGCAGTCAGTGGTAAGCATGTTTGTTGGGAAGAGTTCCAATACCTCCTTCAGAAACTCGACGCTATGCAATACCGCTTGATACTTCATTAGTCCAAAGCATACCAGTCATGCCGGGAGTGAGCTAACCTGGTGACACCTCGAATGAGTTGAAATAACCTGAAATCAATCGATCGACAACCGGCCGCTCTGGAATCGTCGCCAGAATTTCTTCCTTAGTCACAGGTCTCGTACACCCATAAAGGAGCTGAGGACCGCCCCGCTCAGCAAAAGAGGGCTCATCCAGCGGAGTATCATCTTGCACTTCGCCCTCTTCGTCGAGATGGATTTTCAGATCGGCAATCCCATCAAGAACGGCGGCCCAATGAGCGCTATTGACATAGTTGGTACTTGATTGAGTCAACTGTAAGCTGCCGCAATCAGATGCTGGTGAGTTGCCTTTGGAGAGGTCTGCATATGGGGAAGCAGCAAACGATCGATCGGCCGAAGCTATGGGAGCATCGCGGTGTACGGAAGGCGCTCGATTGGAGTCACTTGTTGACGCGGTTTGCATTAGGCTGACCACGAGATTCTCCAATTGCTGAATCCTCTCTTGAATATTTGGCCGTCGCTGGTGAGCATCAATCGGCTTTGAAATATAAGTACAAGAAAGAGCTAAACCTCGGTCTGTGCAATTCCCACATGGCTGCTGTCGGTCACATCGGATCCTGCGGAGGACAAGAATGAGATGTTGCCGGTTAAACTAAGAGATTGTCTTTGAAGAGGGAGACTCACTTCCTTTGTCTGCAGAGACCGCATGAAAGCGGTGGTCGTTCTCGACGCCTGCTAGATGGCAGACGTGCCCTGCCCCTCGCTGTTTTGCCTGGACCCCATTCCGGAAGCTGAGGTTCTTCGTGATCTGCCATGTTTTTGATGTAGCCAATAAAAGAGGAAGATAAATCCGAGTGAGTATTGCCGGGAGCCACAGGTCAGCAGCTGGATTTGATGGACCAGCTATGGTCAAGCTGGCTTGAGGTCGCCTGACGAGGAGGTCATAGGTATCGTTCGTCAACCCCGCCTCCAAGTGATAATCGCAGTGTTTCACCCTAGTCTACTTGGTTATTAGCGTGGCCTGGTGTCTTCATAGACATTGGAAATTTCGTTTTGCTGAAATTGCCAGTTTTTTGGCCGGTTCCGATGGCCCGCCCCGATGCTCCGCTCCGATGCTCCGCGCGGATAGTCCAGCAATGTGTCCGTCCTGATGGAGGAGACGGAGTGCCTTAATCCAAGCCGAAGCATCCAAATTCCTACTGGGGATCCTTTCCAAATATGCCCAACGGCTCTACGACCTACCTTTCGTATAAATTGAAACTATGTCATGATTGGATCTTTTTGATTTCCAGTGCAAGTCTCATCAAGGCTATCCATCAGCCAGAGCCGATGAAGGAAAAAGAGCATCCAACCTGTCACAAACAACATGGATAAGGAATCTGCAAAACTGGAGTCAACTGGCTGGGACGGTCCCAATGACCCCGAGAATCCGCTTAACTGGTCGTCTTGCAAAAGAAACCTACACATCATAATCGTGAGCCTCTTGACCCTTAATGCGTAAGTATCACAGCAACCACCCAAGCTCATGACTTGTAACATGCCACTAATCCACTGCTCAAGAAACCTGGCTGCCACCATGTTTGCCCCCGGCGCAGAACAACTGGCGAAAGAGTTCGGAGTCACCGATTCAACTATTGAGGCCATGACAGTCAGCCTCTACGTCCTTGGATTTGCCTTTGGCCCTCTCCTCTTCGCGCCTCTGTCAGAGCTATACGGGCGCCTTATTCTGTACCACATCTGCAACACTGTCTATTTTGCGTTCACGGCAGGCTGCGCTTTCAGCACTAATGTCGATATGTTCCTGGTCTTTCGGTTTATATGCGGTTGTGCCGCATCAGGCCCTATGACTATTGGAGGTGGTACGGTTGCGGATGTCACCCCTCCCCAGAAAAGAGGAAAGGCCATGGCGTTATTCGCCATGGGCCCAATCCTCGGACCCGTACGCGATCACCCCTTGAAGAGTTCCACCTGGGAATCACGATACTGACAGGAGCCTTCGGAGCATAGGTGCTGGGACCAATCATCGGAGGGTTTGTGTCTCAATACGCAGGCTGGCGCTGGACACTCCGGATCATTCTGATATTGGTAAGGTGAATCGCCTATGTACGACCTACAAGTCTAACAGAGTTCACCGCAGTCCGGAGCCATTGGTATCGCCGCCGGCGTCTTTATGCGTGAGACGAGCGCGGCTGTCTTGCTGAATCGGAAAGCAGGCCGGGCGTGCAAAGAGGCTGGGAACGCCAGGATAGCCGAGCCCAAAAGGGAACAACAAGACTCGCCCTCCCGAATGCTGTTGCATGCCCTTACACGTCCCGTGAAGCTGTTGATCTTCTCGCCGATCGTCCTGCTTATCTCGCTATACACTGGGATTATTTTCGGCCTCATCTTCTTACTTTTCACCACGTTCCCTTCGGTATTTCAAGGGGTGTACGGTTTCGACGCCGGAACTTCGGGATTGGCCTACCTTGGCCTAGGGCTGGGCATGTTGCTCGGTCTGATTGTCTTCTCCATCCTTAGCGATAAGGTTCTTGGACAGACACAAGGCGGAGGCACAGCGCAGCCTGAACAGCGCCTTATCTTGATGAAGTGGCTTGGTCCTATCGCCCCATTGGGATGCTTCATGTACGGCTGGACCGCACAGTACCACACACACTGGATAGTGCCAATAATAGGAACATTTATAATTGGCTTTGGCTCTTTATTCGTCGTCATCCCAGGCCAGATCTATCTCGTCGATGCCTTCGGGTCGGCAGCGGCGGCGTCCGCCCTCGCAGCCAGCCTCCTCATCCGATCCCCTTTTGGTGCCTTTCTGGATCTTGCTGCCGCGCCTCTGTATGATACTCTGGGACTGGGCTGGGGAAATAGTGTGCTGGGATTTATCACGCTGTCGTTCATGCCAGTGCCGTGGCTGTTTTACCGCTACGGCGAAGCTTTGAGGACTCGTTTTGCAGTTGACAAGTACATGTAGTGAGAAGGTTCACTATCCTCTGGAGATGTCTCTGTGTTCTACAAAACATGGAGTCCGGAGTACCATACTCCTATCTCCCTAGGGAATGATTCGTCACAGTATGTACACACATGTTGCCGCATTCGGCTATTATCGAAACGGGCAAGTGCATGATGAATAAACCCCATCCCAATGGGCAAGCCTCGTCTGTATTTGCCTGGTGTTTCAAACTATCTCTAGAAGCAAATAGAGTAGATATCCCTGTGGAGACGAGAATTGGCCGTCGCCAATGTACATAGTATGGCTTAGTTCCCGGTCGTGTCCCGTGTTCGTTTTACTTTACCACTTTGGGACGCCGACTGGTGACAATTTGGCGTCGGATTACCACTTGTTGATTAAATACTAAACGAGTTAATTTATAATAACGCTGTCGATGCATATAAAAACTGGGAAAATCGCTGGCAGTCGGACTCTCTGTAAAAGTAAGCGCCTCTGGCGAAAGAAAACGACCGCAATGGATACTATCCTTTCGAATCGCTACGACAAGACCCCTAGACCGTTTCACGCTGGCGCTCTGACCGCGTACAATGCTCAAGGAGATGCAATTTATTCCAGTATCCAAGGCACCCAGACCGCGGACCCTGCAGGCCCTCCAGTCACCGAAGATTCAATCTTCTGGGTTGCGTCCTTGACCAAAATCGTCACGGCCGTCGCTGTGATGATTGTCGTGGAGCGAGGCTTGATTTCACTCGACGATGATGTCGGAAAGGTTGTGCCAGAGCTGGCAGCGCCAGAAGTCCTGACTGGGTTCGATGAAGATGGTATTCTTCCCGACGGAGACTCCCGTTGTCAGAGGAATGGCCATGCTGACAAGCTTCTTCCTAGGAAAACCCATCGTCAATCGGACGGAGAAGAAGCTCACGTTGCGCCATCTCTTGACGCATACTAGCGGCTTCACATATAGCCTGATGAGCGAGAATCTGCAGAAATGGGCCGCGTATCATGGGAGAAATATCGACCACACGCAGGGAACTTATGTACTCCGCTCTCTTTCTCCGCTCTCTTTCTGCAAATATGCGATCTGACTAAAAACTGTCATCTGGCTTTAGGAGTCAATCACGCACCCTCTTATTTTCGAACCGGGCGAGGACTGGAGATACGGACCCGGAGTGGACTGGGCTGGACGAGTGGTAGGTCTCTGACCGCAACGTTGATTCAGTACGGCATTTAACCATGGCACATGCAGGTCGAAGTCCTCTCTGGAAAGAGACTCGGGGAATTTATTCACGAGAACATCTGCCACCCATTGAATCTCCAATCTACCACCTTCCACCCGGAAACACTGCCGGACTTCGAGAAACGAAAAGTGGAGATCGCCCTCCGCACTGAAGACGGATCCCTAACTCTAACCAAAGAGATATTTCCCCTTCCTACGCCGGACGACCTCGGCGGTGGGTCACTATATTCGACGCCTCGCGAGTTCACCAAGTTTCTGTCAGCCATTCTGGCAGGAGGTGCTGGAGTCATCAAACCCGAGAGCGTGGATGAGATCTTTCGTCCTCAGCTGCCGGAAGCTGTGAGGATAAGGTTGAACCAGCTGATTAATATGCCAGAGGCGCAAGCAATGAAATGGTTTTTTACGACAGGGGATCAAGTCGACTTCGGGCTGGCAGTCGCAGTCACAGTTGGTGATGTTCCAGATGGTCGTGCAGATGGCACAGTTTCGTGGGGAGGACATACCAATACTCATTTTGTAAGTGCCTTTCTGGTCTGCTGGTCGAAAGAAGGGTGAGCACTGATGAGTTGGATAATGCCAGTGGATCGATCGAAAGACGGGGATATGTGCGACGAGCTTCTTCCAGCACCTCCCTCCGTCGGATCCGCAGGTGATTGCGCTCCGTGATGAGTTCGAGACGGAACTGTATAGGCAGATACGCCATACCAAGTCGTAGCAACTCCACGTTACTACGACGGTTTATCTCGATAGGACCGCACTGTGTATTAAGGTAGGCTACAGTAGTCTACTTATGTGGAAGCATGTTTAGAGATGACGTAGCTTATATAATTAGAACATTCTATATGAGTCTGTGGACTTGAACGGCCATCAACAATAAGTAATCTTACGAGTCAGTTGATTTATGTCTGGGGTAGTCAAACACCCTTAGCATATGAAGTTAGGCTAAGTGGTAACACAGGCGGCAATGCAGACCCAAAGGTGCCTAAAAGTACAAAGCATTACTGAAAATATCCAGGGCAATGATCAAAGAGAACTGTCTGGTTACAATGCTGGAGGGCACCTGAGTAATAAGAGTACATCTAAATTAGATAGGTTCAAGCCAGAGATCTCACAGGACGGGGCAACGTTCGAGGACTAACTAAGAACTGCCCTGATGTGTCTTCTTGAGTTACATATAGGAGCATGTCCAATTCAAGCATCATCAAGGCCATCTATCTCAGGAGTGGACCAGAAGATGACAAGTTCGCTATGAGCATGATTTTTTACCTAAATAACACTTGTTTTAGATATCACGTCACATAGCTCATATATACCAGGGCTTATCAATAGCAGACGGTATATGGCTATGGTATATAACTACTATTAGTAATTTTGCCACTAGTTACTAGACCAAATTATAGTAAAGAAAAGACGTAAGAGAGATATATTATCACCCAAAACAAGAAATTCATAGTCCTTCCTAGGATCAGGTCATCGGGCAATAGTGGTCATCCTGGAATTTCATTGTGTAGCACCCAACACATATGCACTGTGCTAAGATGGGAAGCTGGTTACTGCTGCGAACATGATTCCTAATGCTGTGAATATAGTGCCAATAACCCCGGCCGCTCGAAAACTGACGCAGGCATCACTGTCATTTGTTTGTAGCCCAGTTAAAACGGCACCGATAACTGAAAATAAGATTGAATTTAAGATAAGGCCAACCTTCCATTGGCATAGGGACGGAAGTAAGAGAATAATAGCCAGAATTGGCACTCCAATCTTGGAAATTGTCAGCTCTTTTTAGGTCAACAAGTATTTACGACTTACAAAGGTACCAAGATACAATGCATTTGTATTCTGGCTACAATGGTGTTCCTCCACTGTAAAGGCAACAGGTTCTTGGTTGATTAAGGCTGTTGTTGCTGGTGAACTAACTGTTAAATGAACCTATTTGTGCAATTTCTGCTTAGCCCACTATTCAACAACTATACTGGTATGGACTTACAGAAGTTAATGGGCCTGGAGGAAGTGAACATGTCACTGTTGTTGTGACTGTTGCTGTGTCTGTTGCTGTGTCTGTTGCTGTGTCTGTTGCTGTGTCTGTTGCTGTGTCTGTTGCTG